CACACACACACACACACACCTTAGGAAATAATTCTTTCCCATTGGAAAATAACCCATATTTGCGATTATAGAAGCAAATGGAGTGATACTGTACTCTTAAGCAATAACAGTGTATCGCTGGATTCCAGCCACTATGAACTAGTAACTGAAATGTATACCTTTACTGTTCTTCCTTTTTGAAATGAGAGTATCAGTACAGATCAATGATCCCATATCTGGACTGCTACTGTATGTTGACTCTGTAAGAGGCAGGTGATGAGCTTCTTGACTTCACAGCTCTTCTGGCTGATGGATGGACTGGTACCCAGGAGTTATACCCAGGATACAGGACCAGAGGAGCAATATACACACTGGAACCTGATTCAGATAATGAGATCTGTCATTGGCCTGATGCAAAGAGACATGAGGGCCTTGGGGAGGAGCTGAGTAGATTTTGTGAACAGATGTCAAAGATGGCAAATTATACCTCCCAAATTATTGGCCTCATCAATACTTCCCATTCACATATATTTATTGGGCTGGAGAGAAGCTTCAGTAGACAAACCACTTGAGACACAAGCTTGGGGATCTGGGTTTGACCTCCAGTATCCAAGCAGAAGCTAGGCATGGTGGCATGAGTCTGTAATCCCAGTGCTAGGGACCGTGGAGACAGGAGGATTCCCTGAAGCTCACTGGACAATTAGCTTAGCCAATCAGCGAGAACCAGTGGGGTCAGTGAGAGATCCTGCCTCAAAAACTAAGGTAGAGGCTGGATGTGTTGGCTCAAACCTTTCATCCTAGCACTTGGGAGCAAAGGCTGGTAGATCTCTATACATCTGAGGTCAACCTGATCAACATAGTAAGCTCTAGGCTAGTTAGGGCTACATAGTGAGTCCCTGACTCAAATAGAAAAGAAAGACAATGAGAAAGGAAGGGAGGGAGAAACCAATTAAAGAAGACAATTGATACTGATCCGTGCACACACCTGCATACAACACACACACACACACACACACACACACACACACACACACACACACAAAAGCCCATACTTTTGTTACATGACTTTGACCTTTTTCCCTATTGAGACATGGGATCTATGCCCCCTGCCTTGCCTTGTCAGCGTGAGTGTGCCTGTGTGTGTGTGTGTGTGTGTGTGTGTCTGCATTTTCTAACAGGACATGACTCAGCTATACGATTTTGAAGCTAGGTTATAAAAGGGATTTTGCTTTTCTCTCCATTGGAACGTCTGCCCCTAAAATCTTCAACTACTATGTGAATGGCCCAATTGCCCTGAAACCACCAGATGATAGGAAAACCAAAACTTGCTCTGAGGTACCACGAAGACAGGAGGTTGTCCAGAAAGCCCCTGCTATTTGAGTCCCAGCCACCATTTGAGTACAATGACACCAGAACCATCCGAATGAGCTCACCCTAAACTCCTAGCCAGAAATTAAGATAATGAAATAATTGTTTACACCATAGAAGTCATGGTGATTCATTACGCCAAGACAGATAAATCAACAAACCTTCAAGTCTAACGCAGAGAGTCTGGGAGACCGCATAAGCAAAGTGCTTTCTAGAAAGATCCTCTTGCCTCATGTGTGATGAGAGATGGTGATTCAAGAATTACAGTCTTTCATCTCAGGACTGCTCACGTTTTATCTACACCATTCAGGTCTACACCTGCAAACACAGAGCTCAGCCAGAACTTCACAGATGGGAAGAAAAGGAAACTGAGTCTGAAATCCTGCCCCGGTGTTCATAGCATTCAGACATTTGTAGGTACAGTCAGGAACCATTTCAGTTTTCCAGTTCTGTGGCCAGGGGCGAATGTGAATGGGCATCTACCTTTCTAACAGTTTTTCTTGGGAATTATTTGTCAAGCAATTTTTTCCTGAAAATCGCTTTAGATGGGAGGGGAGGGAACTGGTTCACTACGTCAGTCCTTTCTTTTTTCTTACTCTCTAGTCTCCTCTTTTGCCTGAGAAAATGAACCCAATTCGGGTGTTTTGATAGCAGTAGTCCTTGGGAAGTTCTGAGTGGAATTCATGAGGACCAGACAGGGAGACTTGGAGGAGAAAGCCTGACTCTGGCACGTCAATGTGTGTAGGTGAATTTTTAACCTAAAATAGGCTTCTTATATTCACCATCCTTCTGTACCCCAATCCTTTCCAACACGCCAACACCAGGTAAGAGAGACAGAAGGTTAGAGGGGAAAGGAGGTGTAGGTCTCTTTAGACTACTTCCTGTTGATTAGGGTTGTCGGATTCCTTGGGGGCAAATCCAATCTTCATTATCAGGATAGCCAACAAACCAGCAAACCTGCAATAGCAAACACAGCTGCAAATGCAGTAACAGGAGAGCAGTGGCCTCCTCCTCCTCCTCCTCCTACCCCTCCTCCTCCTCCTCCTTCTTCGTGTCCCTACCCCTCTCTGGGCTCTGTCATTTATACCCTCTCAAGCGTCCCCAGACTTCCAGTCGTAAACTATCTGGAGCTGGCAAAAACTATAGCCCTGCTAGTGCATCAGACAATCATGGTCAACCGCTGTGGACAATCTGAACAGCCCCATATGCCACACCTGGGATTAACAGAAATGTATTCCCATAACATGACTGGGTTGTTATTGTTTTTAAGAAACCAAAACTCTCACTGCAAATGTGCCCAGAAGAATCCAGTGATGTTCACCAAAGGCATAGGCTTGTGTTCATACAGAGGGTGACTAGGGCCAAGGACAGGAAGGAGGGTGACTTCAGCAATATGAACACACACATGAGAGGAAACACTAGTGAAAGTGTAGGAGGGAAGACTGCAAAATGCGAGGTTTTAGGAGACAGAAAATGCCAGAGTCTTGGCTAATAGTTGACTAGAGTTTGGCATTAAGATCAAGAGCTAAGGGTGTGGGCCAGCTAAAATAGAAGCAGCAGTATTAAAGACGAAATATGTGCATAGACAATGAGGAAGGTCTGGACTGAGAGTCTGAGGCAGTTAAGTCAGAGAAAGTGAGGAAGAATGAAAACCTTTGTCTTCACTGGAGTCAATTACATAAACGTTTATGTGTCACATTCTGTCCTAGATGCCGAGGAAGCTGATGAGTAAGACAGAATTCCTGCCCACCAGGACACATAATCTGACTGCAGAGACAGAAGTGTAAGGATGCTACTGTAAAATGCATGTAAAGAAGGTGTGTACAAGGTGGGCTCAGAGGTGACAAGACATCTGGGGGAGTCTGGGCTGAGGGAGGGAGAGACAGAGGTCACCAGCACCGAGAGGACCAAGCCGATGAAATCTCAATGGTGTTGGGCATAACGAAGCCCTAGAGAGACTAGAGTGAGAAAGGACTTCAGGGCACTGGGAGGAAGAGGAGGTATCAAACACTGAGAAGATCCACCAAAGCAGACTTGGCACAAGTAATCTGGGGGCACGAATGTGCCTGTCAAAGAAGGACCTAGGTGTGAAGAATGGAATCTACACCAGCTCCTGGGCCAGGGGAAGGAACAGGAGCTGTTGGCAAATGTACTGGGAGAGGACTGTATAGTTGGTAAATACTTAAGGGATGGCTGATCAAAGACGGTGAGTTCAAGGCCACCAGGCTCCAGAAAGAATCCGCTGTCTTTTTGTTTTTCCCTTGTTGTTGAGAGGATATGTCAGCCGGAAGCTCAGGATGGCCTTGAACTTTCGGCAGTCCTCCTGCCTCCACCTCCCAAGTTCTGAAATTCTAAGTGTGACTCTATAGTTCACCAGGCTCGGAGAACCTGTCTCAAACAACGGCACACAAACAAAACCCTCAAACATGTGTATAAGTGCCATTCTGTTAGCTCGACCCAGAGGTGAAGGTGCAGGCTTCCTCATGGGAGGCTAAATGGGGTGCGTGACTGAGAAAACTGCACGCCTTCAAAGATTAAAGTAGCAGACTGCAATTGGAGGCCATAACACAAGAAAGATCCTCAAACTCGGCTTCGGGTCTCCCATATCAGCGAAAGAGAAGGCATAGTCTCCACTTTTGCCTTTGCTAAAGCGGTAAGGAAGACCCCATCATCCCGCTACTACGGAATCAGAAGTAAGGGCTTGTTCCTTCTTTGCCTAGACAGGGTGGAGGAATTGTTACCCTGTTGCTAAGGAAAAAGGAAGGGGCTGTTCCCAGTTGCCATGGTGACAAGGTAAGAGCGTTCCCTCAGTACCGCCTTACTTTACCCGGCGGTTTCTTCTCCTCGTTGCTATGGAGATCTAGAGGAATTGTTCTTGTCTCCCGCACCTCCTACCGCCGTTGCTAGGACGAGGTAGAGGTAGGGGTAGTCCGCCTCTAGCCGCCTGGTTGCCGTGGAAACGGCGGGTGCCCTGGCCCCGCCCCGCTCTGGCTGACAGCAGTGGCCGCATCGCGCCTGCGCAGTGCTCTCGTCCCCCGCAGTCTCTGTGCGTTGAAGCCGGAGACCGCGGCGGCCTCTGCCAGGACCCTCCGCCCCGGAGCCGCCGGCCGGAGCCACAGCCCCTGCCGCAGCGCCCCCGCCTCCCGTCCCCTCCCCTGCCGCCTCCGCCGGAGCCGCCTCGCGCACTGTGAGTCGGGCCGAGGCCACGGTCGCCGTGGGGCTGAGTCAGCGGGAGGCCCGGGCCGGGCTGGGGGAGGGGAACCGGGCTCCCCATCCCCGCCAGCCACTACCCCCACCCGTGTCCCATTCCGCCGGGCTTCCATCCTCGGTGGCCTCCTCGGTGGCCTCCGGGGCCAGGCCTCCCCAGCCACTCCTCCTACCCTCCTCCCTCTCTCCCTCCTTTCGGACCCACCTAGGGTTTCTTCCCCTCTACATGTGGCGCTGTCGAACCTCTGCCCGTGGCCTTGTATTTTCCCCAAAACTCTCTCCTGTCTGTCCTTGTCCCTTCTCTTTACTCCGGGGCCTGACATCTCCCGGCGTCTAGTTTCCCCAAGTGATATGCCCGAGAAAAGAGTGACAAGGGGAACAGCCAGTGGAGACTTAGGGGAGGGGGCATTGTATCTGTCCAAACCTTGGGACCCCAGGGTACTTACCCACCCGCTCCTGACCTGCTCGTGCCGGATTGGCTTGGGAAAGCAGGCCTGGATAGTTATAAGTAGCTGCAGAGAGCTGGCGCGGCTTTCGGAAGAGGTTTTGCTTAGAGGGGTGAAGCTATGTTGTGATCAGCTACTGTTGGGTGCTCAGGGCTCGTGCATGATGGCCTTGTACTGTGCTGAGCCACTGCCCTGGCCACACTTTGCAGGGAAGAGAAGGGAGTGAAGGGAGGGGGACGTGGTTGGTTTGGGAGCTTAAGTTCTTGTGCTTCCGGTGCGTTTTTTCTGTGAATAAGCATCCTTCTGGACTCTTTAAAGAGTCACGTTACAGCCTTGGTATATGTGAGGTTTGAAGCCAGACCTGTAATACTGCAGCAGCAAGTGCTTACTGATCAGGGGTTTTAATTTCTGATACCTGTACATTTGGTGAAGAAGCCAATCAGAAAACAGTGAGGTTTGACCATCTGAGCAGAGTGGAAAGGAGAGGCGGTTTAGAGTCCCTCCGGGGCCTGTATTCCTGCCTCCTGCAGCTCTGAGTCTTGTTGGGGGCTGTTGCCTGGTGGGGTTTCCTTGGCCACTCACCAGCTTGCCCAGCTTGCTGTACCTAGTGTTGAAACAGAGTCCTGAGCTATGTTCTTTTTCCCAGCAAGAAACACAGCTGAAGTTCAGTTTGTGCTCATAGCCAGAAAGTTCTTCCTAGACATGCCTCGACTGGAGGGCTCCTAACTACTGTGTGTACCTCACTGCCAGCTTCCTTTGATTCCTTTTTTTTTTTTTTCCTCCCAAATTTCAATGTAGTGTTAGGAACTATGCATACAGCAGTTCTAATGAACAGGAGGCTTTGGGTTTCGTTTGAGTTTTGTTGTTGTTGTTGTTTTGTTTTGTTATTTGTTTGATTGATTCCAGGCTACAAAGAAGGACATGGGCCCACTCCTAACTCTTGTGGTGAAAGACCCACTCAGTAGGAGTTTCAGAGGTGGCAAACAGATTTTGCTCTTAGACTGCTCACTCATGGCCTATTGGCAGCCTCGCCGGGGCCACTCCCTGCCCCCATGCCCATCAGATTAGTTTACAGTAGCAAAGACGGCTGTCGCCCTAGTTTTAAACACAGAGATGGAGTTCAGGAAAATGACAGCCCCCATCCAACAGTGGAGTCGGTTGTGTTTCGGATGCCAGTCTGGGGTTTGGCGGGATGCACCTGCCTGTGGCACGGTGGGAACCTGGGGCCTGAGAGCCGCATTCCTTCTGCTTCTCTCCATGGTGCATAGCTCGCCCCAAATGCCGGAGGAGGGCAGGAGACAGCTGTGCTGGAGAGCTGCTCTTCCCAGGCCGGGTGTATTTTGGGAATCAGCGTTATTACTGGGGTGGAGGGTGGTGAATTAAGCAAAGAAAATGTGTCAAGGCTAGAGAGAGATCAGGCGAGTGTGAGATGCAGTGCTCCGTTTGCAGTTTGCCGTGGGATAGTACCTTTTCAGAGCATCAGAGAGGCTTTCATATGGGTTAATTTGCCTTTGAAAATCAAACCGGTGTTTTATGAGATAATAACTGAATGCTTATAAACTGATTCTCTTAAGAAACAAGACTGAGACCTCTCCTATAGGCCTATCCAGCTGCCATTGAAGGTAATTGTTAAGACCAGGGAGAGGAGCATGGTTTGGACCAAGCCAGACCTAAAGCTGTGTGATAGATATTATGGTTTTATAGGACTGTATTTCCTTGATCTTGAGACAAACCTGTAATTTACCAACAGCTTTTAGGTAAAGTGTGTGTGTGTGTGTGTGTGTGTGTGTGTGTGTGTGTGTATTCTGAGCTACATCCTAGTTTCAGAAGCAGGAAGTAGCAAGCCTTGGAGGAGACATTTGTGTGTCTTCGAGCTAGAATGGTGTTTCCGTTTTGTGAAGACGCCAGGGCTGCCCCACCCAAGCGCCCGCACATTGTCAAGGTGGGTGTCTCTGAAGCCTTTCTCCAATCCTGTGCTCTCCGTAGGTTTAGGTGATGAACTAGACTTAGGCGTGCTAGTAGCTGTTAAACAACTCAACATTCCCGTGTGAGAGTCCAGCTCAGGGTCTTAAGAGGGTACTCTCCAGAAATCTAGCCGAGAGCTGGGAGCAAACCTCTTAAAGACTATCCCTGAAGTTAAGCAGGTAGTATTTTTCAGAAGGTGAGTAGATTTCATTTTTCAGACTGAAATGTGTGTGCTCCTGCATATAGACACGTCTGTGAGGATCCTAGACACACACGGTGTAAAAAGAATTCACTGTGTGATGTTGAACCTCTCTCCCTGGAGTGTGTTCGAGCTGGACAGGACATGAGATGTCCTAATGTTCTCATTCCCAGGTTTTGACACGAGACACCAAGAGTTAAGTGATTTGCCCCAAGGTGACTGGACTAATGTAGAAAGTATGTGAAAACGCTGTCTATGTGTATACCGTGCAAATGACCGCTGGTGGTTAATAGCGTCTGAGTCAGGATTAGAACTCACATTTCCAGACTAGGGCTATTCTGCACTGCCACATTGCTGCATTTGTCACACTTAATAGTTCAAAGGGCTTTCATAAAAATAATTTAGTAGTCTGTAATTAGCACTGTAGACAAAGGCTTCTTTTATTGTCTGAGATGTTGCAAGGCCAGGCAAAATGTCCAAGTGTCTAATTAAATATTTATTCTTGCCACCTTAAAAATAACAATTTTTCCTCACACACTGAGACTTCGGGAGGTCTTCTTTTTAAAAATATGCATCAACTAACAGAAAGCAAATGCAAAGCTGGGGGTTGAAGGCTTCTCAGCCTATCCAAGGCTTCTGCGTTCTGGAAAGCAAGGAAGAAGGTAGAAATGGGGCTGAGAATGGGAGACAGCGTGAAGGACAGCTTCCAGGCTCCCAGCCAGCCCTCCAAAGTAACGTTGCATAGGTCCTGGGAGCCACATGGATTTCTCATCCCTATCCTTTGGCAACTGAGTCGATCCGGACTCTCCAAACAAGTATATCTGAGCACAAATCCCAGTCCTTCTACTTCCTGGCCGTGTGACACTGGGCAGGTTACGTAACTGCTAAGTGTTAGTTTTCTCGTCAGTAAGCCTGGGTGATGGCTGTCCACAGCTCTCATCTTAAGGCCAGGAGACACTGCCCCACAGGGCTGTTACAGGATGCGAGTAAGCAAAGCTTGTAGAGGAGCTGCTTGGTAGCAAGTAGCAATCATTATTTGCATTTACTGGTGTCATGAATTTAAAAAGAATGTCTCAAAGTTTGTCATGAGAAGTCCTCCCTTAACTGACTCAGAAACACCCCATTCCTCAGAGCCTTAATAATGTGTTTGATGGAAGCAGAGATTTGTCCCACGCAGAGAGTTGCAGTGTCATTTCAACTGCCAAATGAGAGCGCATATGTATGAAATGGTCCTTTGTCTCCATGCATTCAGCTGACTTGGTTGTCTGACAGAATGGCCAGGCATGAGCAGTGGCCTGGAGCAGAGCACAGGCTGGTGTGTTGTGTTGTGCTCGGGCCTTCTGCTGGGGAGGCTAGTCCGAGGAGCAATCCTAATTTGAAATAGAAAAGCAGCTGAGCGCTGGCTCATTAGTAACCACCCTCACGTGGCCCTCGTTCACGTCCCCTGCCGTGAGACGTGCACCTTGAACCATGACTTTGCTCAGTACCTGTGGGGTACAGAGGTCAGGCGGAAAGAGCCCTTCCTCCCAAGAGGGAGACCTCCTCCCTGGGTGAGGAGAGGGAAGGGGAAGCCATTCTGGATGGAGCAGTTACGAAAAGACACAAGGCCTTACCAGAGCGAGCCATTCAGTTGGCAAAACACTCAAATAACAACAACAATAACTCAAATAATGACACTTTAAATCCTGTGTCTCTAACACAGAAAGAGCTTGAAGCTTCAGGAGACCTAGCTGAAGTATGATACCCTCGGTGATGGATCCGAGTTTCCAGATCCAGGCCGTATCCCTTATCCAGGCCTCTAGACTAGCTGGAGTGGACTCCTGGCAGGCTCAGCTTTAAGTCTGATCCCCAGGACTGCAAATAAACTTGGGGAATATCTACCTCTGGGAAGTAAAATGTGGGTGTCGGGAAGGGGAAAGGACTCAAAGGGGAACGTTTACTTCCTCTCTGTCTGTATTTGACCTGCTGTAAGACACACTGTTTCATAGCTTAGAGAAGACCAGACAGAGCTGGTAGTGCGTTTGGCTCAGAAAACACATTTTAATATAAAACCCCAGCTGTAATGTTCAGTGATGGAGCAATGGTTAGATTGCTTCCTTCACATACCAAGCCAGTGTCCAAACCTCACGAGTGAGGAAGGTCCCTCTGAGGTGGCTGCTTCCCTGGAAGCCCAGAATGCTTAATGAATTCCTCCTCCACTAGTCCCCTTGTCCCCTCCCTTCCCCTTTTGAGAATGATCCCCTCTTCTCGACCAGCTGAAGTAACCACTGCTTCCTTATAAGATAATTGAATTTCAACTATTGACCAAAGTGGCATCTGCCCACGTTACCTTTACAGCAGGTCTGTGAGCTGGACGTGGTGCTGGATGTGGAATCCCAGCACCCAGGACAACCCGGACTCCATAGTGATTGTGCTTCTCAAATAACAACACTTTAACATCCTGTGTCTCTAATGTCAAAAGAGCTTGAAGCTGGAGACCTAACTGAAGTATGGATACACTCGGTGACGGTAGCGGCAATCTGAACGGGGACTGGCTGGTCCTTCTACACAATATCAACAGCTTCTGTAGAAATGACTGATAAGGGGCTGGAGAGCTGGCTCAGCGGTTAAGAGCACTCGCTGTTCTTGTAGAGGACCTGTTCAGTTCCCAGCACCCACATGCTGGCTCACGACTCTCTGTGGGCACTCATGTGGTGCGTATCCATGCAGGTAAAACACTGAAGCACATAAAATAAGGAAACCTAAGAAAAGAAAGACGAAAGAAATGACTAATACAGTGTGGGAGGAATTCACTAAGTGATGCTGAATTTTTAATTTTGTCATCGGCCGGCCAGTTGTCTGTTTTAGCCAGGTGTCCTGTTGGTGACACACTTACTAACTGAGCATGTGCTCTGGGCACTTGCCAGAAGTAGCATGGATTATGCTGACTAATTCACAGCCCATCACCCAGTCTTTCCTTTGGCTAAGAGTACACATCTCCACGGTAGCTGGCCAGGGTTGGTGGGGCATCCTGTGGCCAAGGGTGGAT